CGATGTACATCCAAAGTCTGATGTTTTCCCGCTGATATTCCGACCCTTCTACAAACACTGGGTTCCAGCACCAAGGCATTCGTTTTCGGTTCTCATGCAGTCCTATCCCGGAGACATCCAATGCACCGTTTTCGACTGGTCTCATCCATTTGAGAGGAACATGAAAAATATGTCCATACCGTGCGTTAAACTGGCATCTCGATATGCCTTCGTTGAACGCAGCCCTCTCTACGACAACGGCCAAGAGAAGGATGGCAGCAGTCCGTCAGATATGATTTGGATCCGCGAGAGGCTGATTCGCGGTGGTGAGATCATTCATGAAATACAGTTGGTTGCACCCAGTCTCGAAGCACGCATGGAAACTTACGCACTGCGAGTGAAACCCTAGGCTGCTTATACATCTTTATGCTTCACGATCAATGATCATGTGCCAGTGTGTGATGACTACCTAATGATATATAGTGTCGTTATTAATTTTTAATATTCTCAAACCTAAACTTTAAAACTAGTGTGCTTTTGACAGAATAATACACCATATTAAGTGCTTGTTTACATTTTGATTCTACTGCTCTCCTATACTTTTTGGTTTCACTTTCTACGTTGCCATCCGCGTCTGAGCCCTACCTGCGTTGATAGTATCTATGACATAAAACTTCCTGTATGCATTCCGTCTAAGGGAAACTTAATCCTTCCCTACAGTATATAGATGAGTTTTCATAGTTAACATACTATTTTCCGACGGTTATACTGTCTACTTTAAAGACGATATTATTCACAGGCGAAAGTGATTCATCATTTTTGAATTGTTACTTGTCCTAAAAGGGCATATATTTATAAAAGTTATTTAAACAAATATACATTTTCTTCATGCGTTAAATTGAAAAAGGTATAATTTGGATGTGAAACAAACATGCAGGGGAATTCATTTATATAGACCCCTGTATGGTATGCTTACGCATGTTTTCTACAAAATAGACTTGAATTAATAAAAGGCAACGCAATTCAATTAGGAAAAAAGGAATCCTTCTCCATTTGACCTGATCTGAAAGTAATTTATTCAAAATGATTTATCGCTAGGGGTTTCGGTGTCAAAAGTAATTCCTCCATGCAGATTGCCTCCAATGGATGAGTTTTTTGCGAATATGTGTAATATAATTAATTAGAAATTTGAAGGCTCGTATATTGGGTTGGACTGAAACGTTAACTGGTCAGAAAAGAACAACAACTGTTGTCTTACGTTCTCGAAAAGACTGTGTTTGGCTGTTAAGTAGTAACTAAGCAAAAGTGGTTTTGCCCATTTTTTCACCATTCTTCGTAAGAGGCTCTACTTAATAACTAGTTTTGGAAGACATAACCAGCTCGCTAGCCATTGGTGCTCCCAAAAGTACATAAGGTCATTCGCCCAAAACGTGTGCGATTTGCAAACCTTTTTGTTGGCTAAACTGGTGTAAATCGAATAGATGTTCGCACGCAGAAACTTCAAACCCAATTTAAATATGAAAAAAGGCATTTGAAGGTCAATTAGTACTATGCGCCTTAGTTGTTTGTTTTAGAAATTGAATTTGCGATGCCACTAAGAAGCAAACCTGCAGCCACGGTCCACCACTTATGGGTTCAATCTTCCATATGTCTGTACTCCCCCTCCCGATGAGAGAGTATTGCGTGCGTTAAACATTGAATCACTCATTTTTCTCTGAAATCATAAAACACACTGATAAACTGCCAATGTGGAATAAGTTGCGGTAGGCTAAAAAATGCATAAAACCTTCTAAAGACTAGGCCTCACTGTAGCATGAATAGGTCTTCTGTTTCTGAAATAATTTTGTAATGGCTATTGATCTTTCTGTAATACGTATGGGAGGCAGTCATCAATTGGCGAATATGATGCGTTACATATGTATAGTACTGGGGCCATGTGAGCTGAAAATAAGAGCTTGTTTTTGAAAACCTAAAGATTCCCTTTCTATAAGTACAAAGCCTGAATAGCGTGTAATTTGCTGCGGAACAAATAAAAGAGATCGAACGAGGATCCATACTTTTAGCAAAGTGTGCATGAATTTATAACTGGCATTACAAATCAACCAGAAAGGTGCATATTTCTTATTTAGCCTTTCTACAAGTACGTCTTTGTTTGGCGATCTTAAAGAACCTTCTTCATCTTGCAGCGAATCAGCTAGCTAAATATTATGCTCAACGATAATCAGAATTACAAATCTTGTTCAGTTACTGTTTGAACCAAGACCATATTTCAAAATGCATATTTTGAAAATGCATGCGATAGGGAATCAACTGCAGTAATGGACAGTTTTAAGGACGATATTAAATTATTCCATCTACGTTTCAAAGCAATTGATTATGCTAGCTTTAAAGTTATTCTTTGCAGTTATGAATCAGTTAGCTAACATGTTGTTATATATTGTATATTGTTGTATATTCGTTATTAATGGGTACACGTTAGTGGTAATGGTAACTATATATTTGGGACGTAAATTGATGGCTTGCTCTTAGACGTTACCAATAAACTGGTAATTATGCTTAATTAGGGGGTTTCGTAGGGCATTGGCTTCCGGTTAAGGCCTTCCTTACTAAGCGGTTTCAAATCCCGCCGAAGGCCGCGATTTTTTTTCACAATTGGGTCAACTGGCGTTATGTTTTAGCTCGTTGACGCTGAAGGTCGCACAGGCTATGTGATGCTTTTCCGTAATTGCGATTAGATAACTGCTGCTGCTGTTGCTTTTCGTGCGCTTTTATATTTTGCAGAAATGCCTAAGTCAAGGCTTTTATTTGAAGTTGCTTGTAATCTCAGTGATATAATAAATCATCATCTTACTTGGAGTGCTATGTTCCGTTAGGAAGCATTGGCACGACAGGCCGTCTGTTGACTGCCTTTAAAAGCAGCTACCGATAGTAAGCCAACATGAGTATGAAGAAAGACTGATAAGTTTGAGAAAGTCTAAGTAGGAGGCCCTGCAAGCAGACGTAGTTCGCTGTCTCCACAGGTCAGTGTTGTCCGTGTTCACCTTTGAGAATACATGGCCAGTCTCATAGGTGCGGCCGCCACTTGCGATAAAGCGTCACCGCGTGTGACACCTAGTTTACGTCCGTGTATGCACGAACCAAGCTTTCGTTCAGTCTGTCCGATGTACATTCGGGGACAGTTTAGACATGGTATGCCATAAACTGCGCCCGACTGCCCACTGGCACTTACTCAGTTCTTTATGTCTCATGGTTGAGCTGTGCATGATAGCCTTGAAGCGATGCGAAATTCTGACGCTTACTTCCTCAGAAATGCGTTCGATAGTTTCCGACACATCCCTGTTGTATGGCAGCGCATAGCATATCATAGGGCTTGGCTTTGGTCGGGTTCTCGGACGGCAGGCTCGTCGACATCAGTATATGAAGGCCTTCGGATAGCCATACCGCATAAAATAGTTGCGGACATGTCGGGCCTCCCGTGTTCTTACCTCCAAATTACTGCAGGAGTCTAAATTCGTTTCAACAGCGTTCTCATGCAGCATCGTCCGTGAGCCACTGTAAGGTTGCTGTGAAGGTTGAGAAGATGTGTGGGGTTTGTTGCCTTCCTGTAAAGCATTGTTTCAATCTCGCAGTTAGAAGGGCAGCTGCTGATCCTTCACGTCTCTTTCTCTCACGAATTATATATAAGAGAAGATCGAGTTGAAAAGATCATGAAAATCAGCATCGTAACGGCGCCAAAAGATTGCAGGCTGTTGGGTGAAGGCAGTCTTCTCCAGTACTTATAGGACCTATTCTGCTTTTTAAGCAGAGATTGGACGGCCCATAGGAGTTCACTTGATCTGTTGATAAGTCGCTCCTGCAAAGATGAAGTTTATATTTTGGCAAATTTCGAGTAGCCTCATGAGGTGTTCAATTTTGAGCAAACTCTGTTTTTCGTCATACAGCTCCTCTCCCTTCCCGTGCAAGACTTCTCCTGCAAAACCCCGTGAAATGTATGTGAATAATGGTGTCCCGTCAAAGGAAACCATAATTACGTCTGATTGAACCCCCCGGCCAATGAGCTCTGCCAGGAGCACCTCATTTCTGATGACACGCGGCCCAGCCCAATACATTTCGAAGAGTTAATTTGTTAGGCAAAGTATTTATATCTGTTAAGTTAGTATTTGTTGCGTTACTTTAGCCAACGATTCAGCGTTAACTTTATTGTTCGAGAAAAACGTAGAACCTAAATTTGAGGTTTGCTGTATGATATATGTTATTAAAAAATGACCAACTCAAATTCAAATGTGCGATATAACGAGAGAATACAGCTGATGCCTAGCGGAAGAGTGGCCAAAACCCTGTTGAATTTATTTTGTGCATTGACTGAATTCTAGGCACTGCGGTAACCTGGACAACCACGTAAGCACCATCGTCGAACACGGTTAATTAATCGAAGAAGGAAGAGTTTTCACTAGGAGAGGCTAATTGTAGTTTTAACGTTTTGGGACATTTGTCTCGTCAACCCACCTTCAGCAAATTGACACTGTCATGTCTCATGGTTCTCGCATTTATGTCGCTGTTTCTTCCGTGTACGTGTTCTGAAAATTCCAGGGTGCTCCACTATGACGTTGTTGGCTGCTGATTGTTGGTCCGTGTATTTGCTGGCATCCGAGTCCGTTACTTTGACGTTTGTTGATAACCCTTAGCTCTGAAAAGTGCGCGAAAAAGCTTTATGTTGTCCCGTTTGGCAGCTGGTTTGCTGTGAAGGGTTTCTTCACGTGGGTCAAGCGTGAGTACACAATTTCAGGGCAGTATATGTGGGTTTCGTCGGGCAACGTTAGTTATCATTGATCACATTCCGGGCGTTTGAACTATCCAAGTAATTTGGTTAACTGATTTAATACTACTGCTGCTTCTGAGCTTTGTGCTGGCCCGTAGAAATATGTATCATCAAGCAGAGCTTTGGCTTTCTCGTTGTAGTCTCCTCGATTTGTGACGAACGTTGACCGTTTCTTATCCGTGGGCCGAAACATACTACGATTGTCCGTTGTTAATTCTTTAATCGCTTTTGAATTACTTTTCGAAATGTTCGTTAAATATTCCCATTTTTTAACATGAAAAGTTAATTTGTTAGGCAAAGTATACTTTTTGGCAAATCTTCTTCAGGGCCATTAACATTGCAAACTAGGAATTTGAACAGGTACAAAAATCAATAATTTCAGGGTTATGCGCCTATTGGCCATTGCGGACTTTTCAGTCTGCGCAAATGGTCGGCATGTTGGCTGGGCGACCGCAACGTTTGGATGGGGGTGATATGAAATGGCTTTCTGGCGTCGGTTTCGGCCACGGGAGGGTCAAGGCTTGTGTATGTGTTTTCTGGCAGCACATTACTGGATTCAATAGGCGTATAGCCACCGCTTCTGCTGTTGC